GTTGATTTCATGAAACTCTCTCTTGTGGTATTGAAATTTGATTTTGATTCAAGAGTATTGATGAGTTTAAAAATGGATTCACACTTTGTTTTCAAAAAGTTCTTGAAAGTTGAACTACATTATTAATGAAGGGTGTGTTGAAGAGATTCTTTCAAAAAAATGGGGATTTTGCCTAGCTTGGTGAAAACCTAGAAATTTGGAAAGTTTTTGGATAAATATTGAAACTTATAAATTTTGCTCCATAAAATGTTAAAATGAATGGATGATGGGGAAATTTCTTATTTGTTGTTTATAAATGAAAATTTCATGGAATGGGAGAAATGGTTAGAATTGAAATATGTTCTTCACAATGTTAATATAGTCATGTAATGATAGAGTTGATGAAAATGCATGAAATGTGAATACGTTGTTGCTCCTTGGTAGAGATTGTCGCGTATGGGTTTATCTTGTGAAATTACATTGGAAAGAGAAATGAAATTTGTGATCACAATGGAAAATTGTGTGGAAGAATTGAAATGGAAGAGTACTATGATGCATTGATGTATGTTACATTGGCATATCAATTTATTTGGTTGTTACGGATTTTAAATTGTGATTTGAGAATTTTTGCATTGAGAAAGGAAATGTTTGGAAACAAGATTTCATGGTTTTGTATGGGGTAAATACGTTGGTAAGTCCGAATAGCGGGTGTAGATAAAATTGATTAAGTTGGCCTGAGTGTCTAGAATGAAAGACCGAAAACACATATGGAGGAGGCACTACGTGTCTTCCAGTTAGCTACCGGTAAAGTGTATATTTGGTAGTGCTAGTTATGCCTACTTGCAGATACCTACACTACAACATTTTCTTAGTTTAGTGACATTTGAAAGTGTCATAAAACTATTCTTCTAATGACATTTTTTGGTCTTGTGGCATTTTGAACAAGTGCTATTTCTATCGGTGCCACAGTAGATACGAGTGCCATGGTAGATACTTGCAAGTGCCACTGCACCATCATGGCTGAAAACTTTCAATGACATTTTAATTTCATGATAGATATTATTTGTGGCACTATCAAGCGCCATTAAAAAGAGTTAGTGACACTTGTAAGTGTCATTACACCTTCAAGACTAAAATCTTTCAGTGACACTTTAATGTCATGGTAGGCACTATTCGTGACGCTATCAAATGCCATTCATGACGATAATTCGTTATAGAACAATTTGATCCGCTCTTGCAGAGACTCGAACCGCCAACCTTCCGTACCATAAACCTTATACATCACACTCTTCCCACTACACCTCTATAGCACCACATGATTATATATGCAACATATATTATTTATATAGTACATACATCCATATTAATATAAAAGTATATGTATAAACATAATTATTTTATTGAACATAATTTATGTAAAATAAACTATTTACTACCAAAATAAAAAAAAGACCACTTTTGGCGACTAAAAATATTTTTTAGTCGCCAATTCTATACTTTTGGCTGCTAATTGTTTTTTAGTTGCTAAAAACCTTAACTTTTGTCGACCAAAATCGGATTTGGTCGCCGAAGATGCACTTTCAGCTTCCAAAATTTTGGTTACCAAAAAATTTTATTCCCGCCTTAGGATTTTAGTTCTCCTGCGCTAAAAATGACCACTTTTGGTGACTAAATTTATTTTTTAGTCGCCAATTGTAGACTTTTGGCTCTAAATTTTTTTTGGCACCAAAAAGCTTTACTTTTGGCTACTAAAATTTTTTTAGTGGTAAAACCCATATAATCAGCGACCAAACTTAGTTTTAGTCGCCAATTGTAGACTTTTACTAAAATTGTTTAGTCGCCAAAAAGTTTTACTTTTGGCAACTAATGCTGTTTTGATCGCTGAAAGCTATACTTTCAGCGACCAAATTTTTTTGGTCAGGCAATTTAGTCGCCGAATATACTTTTTCCTGTAGTGTATATTGAGTTTAATTCATTTATTTTTAATCATTTACTGCATTTTAAAAATTTAGAAAATATATTGGCATTTTTTTGTTTTTTCAAAAATGTCATTGTAAGCTTGGAAAGTTTTTGGCTTAGTGGCATTTCTCAAAATGCTATAAAATATTTGTTTATGACACTTTTCACCTAAGTGCCATAAAAAGTAATTTACACCTATCTAGTGTCTTGACATTTTTTAAAAAATGCTATTGCAAATATTCATAAAAAGTTTTTGTAGTGACATTTTTTTTTGTAGTGAAGTGACACTTTTTTTTTAATTGAAATGCCACTAGAGCCTTGTATGTTTGTGGCTCTATGACATTTTTCTAAAAAATGCCACCAAATATTCTTTTTGTGACATTTTTTAAGAACATGCCATTAGTATGGTGTCACTAAAATATGTTTTTTGTTGTAGTGTTGTGACACTTGTTCATTGAAATGTCATTAAAGCCTTTTATGTTTGTCGTTTTGTGGCATTTTTCAAAAACGTGCCACTAAATATCATTTTTGTGTCATTTTCGAAAAATATGCCACTAGTGTAGTGCCACTAAAGTATGTTTTTGTTGTAGTTTTGTGACACTTGTTCATTGAAATGTCACTAGAGCCTTTTATGTTTGTCGTTTTGTGGCATTTTTAAAAAACGTGCCACTAAATATCATATTTTGTGACATTTTCTAAAAATATGCCACTAGTGTAATGCCACTAAAGTATGTTTTTGTTGTAGTGCTAGGGATTACCTGAGTCGTCGTATATACGGCCCCTTGAACTTGATTTTAAATTATTGAATTTATTGAAATTTCAAGTTTTTATTGTGCATGATGGTTTTTAGAAGATGAAGATGAGACTTTCTTTTTTTAAAAGCAGGGCATGCATGTGCATTTCATTTCATGAGACTTGTATAAAATGTATATATTTTGTTAATAATTTCCTACTGGGTTTTATGACCTTATGGAATTTTGGTGTAGGAAAAGATGTGGTGATTTCGCCAAACTAAGGGCGTGGATTTGTATGTCGAGAGGACAAAGCTCTTGTTTTGTTGTGATAATATTTTTGCAAGCCAAGGGCTATACTTGTATGGGTTCGAGTAACTATTTTGTGTAACCGGGCTTAAGCCTTGGACTTTGTAACCCTTGAGGGCATTCATTTATTTTGACTAGATGTTTTACATGCTATAGATTTATGTACCGAAGTCGTTGAATGTATATCCGCATGTGGAGCTATTTTGTAAACATTTTATGATCATGTATTCAAGTGTTAGAGAATTTCTTTTGTTATCATAACGAGCGGTGGTTGGTATACTTTTATTGTGTATTTTCATGGGGCGTTACACTACTCCTGACTTGGTAATTGATTTTGAGTTAGTCCTACCCCTTGTAGGGCAAGGAGCATACATCAGCTCTATGCAAAGAAATTACCGACCCTATTATTATTACTATTTTATTTATTTATTTTTACTGTTGTTGCACAACAAGAACAACTTTTATTTTATTTTATTTATTTTCTTTTTTTAAAAAAATTATTTAATCATTGGTTGCAACTTGTAACTTGCCTTTTATTTTTATATTTATTTGTTTGAAATTTGACCACTGGTAGAGAGAGGGTCGAGCCGAGCTTCAAATTGAAGGCCCAAGCCCAAGGTCATGGGTTGGGCTTTGGTCTAACCGGGCCGAAACAGGCAGGGCCCACCTCAGGCCGCGGATGGGTTTCAGGCCACCCACGGGTCTTAGATCAGTTTTACACTCCTAGAAACATCGTTTGCATTGGGAGTGCTTTTAAGCACGAGTCATTCATTAGTATATAAATAGATTCGGTTCTCGATTTTACCCAAACTAAGAACCAAACAAATCTTAACAATTTAATGATTTGAAAACTCAAAACTAAATTATGGCCCTTAAAAATCAACTCCACCCAAAAATATCAATTTGGTTTGGTTATCCGATTCAGCGGGTATTAAAATTAATAATAAAAAAATTCAACCGATTCTAATCGGTTTGAGGTCAACTGTTTATATTTTTTCTAGAACTTGAACTTGAATTGGCTTTGGTCAAATCAAACTAACAATATTATATTAACAAAATCAAATTATTCCGTTAATAAAATCAAATCAAACTAACAATTTGAATTGGCTTGGGTCAAATTAAGGTGACCACATTATTTAATATTATATTAAAAATTTTGGGCAAATTACATATACCCCTTGAGGTTTAGCAAAATTACAGATACTTTCTTGAGATTTGAGAAATTACAGATACCCTCCTGAAGGTACTATTTGCATAACAAGTTAGGGGACAAATTGTTATGAAAATATAAACCTCAGGGAGAAATTTGTTATGAAAATATAAATCTCAGGGGAGTATCTGTAATTTCCGAAACCTCAGGAGGTATTTGTAATTTAGCTAAATCTCAAGGGAGGTATATGTAGTTTGCCCTAAATTTTTTATCAAAAATTTATTGGACAAATTATATCAGTTGTTCTTATATTTTGGTTATTGTGTCATTTTAGTCCTTATAATTTTAATTGGCCCAATTTTCACCAGAAATTTATGATTTTGTCTCAATTTGATCTAATTGATTATAACTGTTAACATTTTCTTATAAACAATACGCAAATAAGCGACATGTGTCAAACTTTCAATAACAAAATTATAAACTTGCTCAACTCAGTGAATTAACCTCAACCAACTCAATAATTAATTTCTGTCAAAAATCGGAACGCCTTTTTCAATTAGACCAAATTGACACAAAATCTAAAATTAAGAGTCAAAATTGAGTCAATTGAAAGTATATAAAGACCAAAATGACACAAGGGCTAAAATGTAGGCTGTAATTTTTTTTCGGTTCAAAATATTAACGATCTATGGTGAAGGGACCATATTGTAATAAAATTGAAAGTACAGGATGTAAATTGTTCATTTGAAATTACGAGGATCAAAATAAAATTTCACTCAAATTAAAAAGATTAATGATGTAATTTACGCAAGAAAAAACTACAAAGGAAACCTGGAAAAACAAACTTTACATTATGTGTTTATAAGACACAACAAGGTGGGCTTTACATCAAATAGTTCCTACAACAGCATTCTCATTGCTTAATGCATAGTGTTATATATGGCTTCTAAATCTGCATGTTACTACTCTCTCATAACCATCACTCAATTCCTTCTCATTTGCACTGCTGAAAAACCGATACGTCCCTTTGAATATCTGTATCAATTTGGAGATTCAAAAGCAGATACTGGTAATCTCATTCGCTTAGGTTCTATTGGCGCAGGAACTGCAGCTGCCCGCCTTCCATACAGTGAAACTTTCTTCCATAGACCCACTGGCCGCTGGTCTGATGGACTTCTTATCACAGACTTCTTTGGTAGGTTGGCTCAAACACTTCCCTTATATTACACAAAATGGCACAAATGCATTGCTGATTTTGTGTGTGTTTATAGCATTCCTATTCTAGATTACACTTGATCCTTTAATTAGTGGTCTTGTAAATACTTTCAATATTTTTGTAATTTTGTTTGTGAATATAGAATGCTAATTGAAAATTATCGTTAAGATCTAGTTTGGTGTTACATATTATGCACATGGTTATTATAATCTAGATCTGGATATCGAACTTCAGATTTTATGATTTTAGTTTGGTCAACAATTTTGGATCGTGCTACAATATAAAATTTTATAGAATCTTAGATTGATTACAATCTTAGTTAAAAAAGTATGTAGAATCGTACTACGATCCTGATTTTCTCAACTTTTTAAGTTATTTCTTCTATATATATGTGTATGTTTGTCAAAATTTTGACTAAAAGTCTTATTTCTATGTGTTTCCCATGTAGAAACTTGAAGATAATGTGAAAGCTTTTCTCTATTTATAGAAGACAAATTTTCAAATTATTTGCATCAAAATGTTTGGATCAGAATTGAAAATCTAGATTCTCTCTAAAATCAAATCCAATGAATTCAGTTTATAATTCGAATCAAATTGTTAGGAGGAAAAATTAAAAATTGGATTTCTCTATAAAATCAATACAGTACTAGTAACCATTGATCAATTGTCATTAATAAATACTATTTGTAAATTCTATACAACAATTTGTAACTTCTATACAACAATTTATGTTTACATATAAGATGACTATATCAAAATTATCATTTCTCTTTAATATTTTTAATAATTTTTTTTTCACATACATTCTCATTATTGATAAATTTTCATCTTATTTTGTATTGAAAATATATAAAATCTTATAATCTGCGATTTAAATTATATATTGATTGTGTTAAAGCTATGGCTCTTCAACTCCCATTGCTTAATCCTTATTTGGAAAGGAATGCTTCATTTGATCATGGTGCCAACTTTGCGGTAGCTGGATGTACAACGCTCGACAGTTCATTTCTAGCTGCAAGGGGCATTCAAACCCCAATTATCAATACTCCTCTTCGGCCCCGTTTGGGGACTTACTTTTTAGTCAACTAGTTAAAAAGTTACTAAATTAACCAAAAAGCCAACAACTCAAACCAAAAAGTCAAAGATTCTCTTTTCTCTCTACTTTTTGCACATCTTTTCGTAATTAGTCAAAAAGTCATCCCAAACATACAAGTTTTTTTTACCTACCTTTTTAGCCAAATAACCAAAAAGTTACTAAATTAACCTGTTCCAAAACGAGGCCTTAGTGCTCAACTAAATTGGTTTAGAACTCTCCTCAACTCCACTTGCTCCTCGCAAGCAGGTTAGTCTCAAAAAAAAAAAAAAAAAAAAAAACTTTTAGCATTATAAGTTGCGTACTAGTGAGTTACAATTGATGAATATATCCTATCAAACTTGTCTTCCACTTTATTGTTTATCAGAATGTGTAAGAAGGCTCAATAGAGCTCTTGTTTTTGTGGGTGAAATCGGAGACAATGACGTTAGTTATGCTTTAGCTGAAGGCAAATCAATTCAGGAGATTCAATCTTATATCCCAGATCTTGTTCGGGTCATTATCAATGGAGTTAGAGTAAGCTCTTGACTTTACCAAAGTAGTAATTGCTTATATATGTATGGCTTTTTCATGTAACTTTTGATGATGTAGGAATTGATACGGCTTGGTGCCATATGAATTGTAGTTCCAGGAAATTTTCGTTTATACTGTGTTTGGTTGGGGAATTTGAGAAGGGATTTGGAAAGGAAAATAGAAAAGGTAGGTGATATGTGAATAAAACATACATATATTTCACTTAGTTTCACACACTTTTTAAAGGAAAACTGAAGAAAAACTGAATCTGTTTTATTTCTATTTTTTTAACAACACGAGTACAGTAGTGCATATACATATTTATAGAGAATACCTGTGTAACTACTATTTAACTACAGTTTACATGTCACTCAAATATAACCAAGCTACCTAACTCTGATTAAGTCATAACTGTCTAACTAATTCTGTTTTCTAACTAATTCTGTTTTGAGCTGACTGTAACTCTCCTCTGCTTTGGTGCTTTGGTTTGCTGCTGACTTTGCTGACTTGTGCTCCTTAACACTTTTTCCATTTCCCTTTTCAAATCCCTCCTCAAATCTCCTAACCAAACACAGCGTTAGGATGCTTCCCGGTTTACCTGAGTAAATCAAATAGCACTGATCCTAGAGTTTATGACGATCTTGGTTGCTTGCGTAGTTTAAACGAGTTACTAGTTTTTCAGAACAACCTCCTTCAAAAAGCTATAGGCTCACTCAGACAAGAATTTCCACATGTTGTCGTAGTCTATGCCGACTACTATTCATCTTTCCAATCCATTCTTCGTCGTGCACCTTTTCTTGGTGAGTGAGGTTCTTCTATATCTTACATTACATACATACATACACTTCTTTATATGTATGTATTATTAACAAGTAATGGTTGAATAATTAACATGATGAATAATTACTTACCATTTAATGGTTGTATTCACATTTGTGTGTAGGATTTGACAAGCAATCACTGTTGAGAGCATGTTGTGGAATAGGAGGGACATATAACTATGATGCCAACGGGATGTGTGGATCACAGGGTGTGTCTGTTTGCCCAAACCCAAAACAATACATTCATTGGGATGGTATACATTTGACACAAGAGGCTCACCATTGTATATCAGATATTCTAAAAAATATTCTATTTCAAATTCAATGTGTTTTTCAGAATATGTTGATGCACCACGCCTAATTCTTCATCAGAAACTGTAATAAAACCCCAAAAATATTACAATTATATAAGTAATAATAATAATGGGTGAAACAATCATGTTATTTCTCCATGTTGCAGTTGCTATCGTGACTTTAACAATTCTTCAAAAGATTATAAGCAAACACATTGTGTGTGTGTGTTTTTTTTTCCATAGTTAATGTTGAAATTTCTAAGAGAGAGAGAGAATATTATATTATGTGTATATTTAATATTGTATTAAATAATAATGTAACAATGTATACAGTACTTTTTATATAGGAGGAGAGAAACCTAAATATAGTAATTTTAAGTATGGTAATAAATAAATTATGTTATATATGACAGATAGAATATATAATTACTATATTTAACAACCCCTTCAAACTCAAGTAAGGATACCAACTTGAGATTGGAAAGAGAAATTAGAACACGAAATAAAACTAAAAATAAAATAAAATATGGATAGATCCGAGGCAAATCGATTGCAAATCCAGATGGGAGCACAAGGGTGCTTGAGATAGATGAGAGGTTGGAGTTAATGTTGGGAGATAGTTTATGGCCGTGTCGAACCATTGCAAAAGAAAAACAGGTGTTGAACTCGCGAACATGGCACACATGTAACTTATGACATTGTGTTGAATAGTGATATCAATAGATGAACCATGTATGCCAAAAGGTGATAGCTTTAAAAGGAACCATGTACACTAGAGGGCGGCTTAGAAAGGAACCATGTGCGCCAAGAGGTGGCTTGGAAAGGAACAAAATGCGCCAAGGGGGTGGCTTAGGGGTACACCAAGAGGGAAACTTAGAGAATGTGCTGAGGGAGGTGGCTTAGGGAGTACGCCAAAGAAGGGGGCGACTTTGGTAGTGCGCCAAGAGAGGCGGCTTAGGGGGTAGCTTAAGGAGTGCGCCAAGGAGGGCGGCTTGGGTGGTGTGCCAGGGGGGCAACTTTGGTGGTGTGCCAAGAAAGGCAACTTGCGTGGTACGCCAAGGGCGACTTAGGTGGTTCGCATGGTGTATAACAATGCTCACTATAATACCCCCTCAAACTCAAACAAAGTTGAAGATAAAAACTTATTTGACGTTGAAGCAGAGAGAAAGACAAACTGAAGCAGAATGAAGAGACCATATTAAGATAATAATAATAATAATAATAATAATATTGGGTACAACCCTTTTTTTTAGGTGATGTAGGTTGTGAAAAAAAAATTGGTGGAAAAGGGCAAAAGAAGAAAAGAAAAATAAATAAATAAATAAATAAAAATATGTCAAGACTTTGAAAAATGGACATGGAGTGTAGAATAATAATAATAAAATAAGAGAAGATCACATGGGTGTGTGAAAAAAACAAAAAAGTGAGAGAGTTAAAAAAAAAAAAAAACCAAGATTTGGGTTTGAAAATAGACTAAGAGAAAAGAAAAGAAAAAATAAAAATTTATGCTCTAGAGAGTGCTAAAAGCCGAGACGACGGTGGAGAAAGCTATGCAAACCGAAGCTGACAAAGAAGGAGATGGTGGCCAATAGTGGAGTTGGCGGAAAAGAAGACAAAGGCCGAAAAGAAGCCGGTGATTTAAAGCGATGATTGGAGAGTTTTATACTGTAAGGAAAATATAGCAGCAGAATGGGTTAAGATCCGTTGAGTGGCCAAGGCAAGGTTATCACCAGCCGATAAGGCAAAGAATACCAAGAGCTTAACCTATAACTTTGATATGATGTTAAAATATCTAAGAGAGAGAAAGAGAATATTATATTATATGTATATTTAATATTGTGTTGAATAATAATGTAACAATGTATATATAAGACTCCTTTATATAGGAGGAGAGAAATTTAAGTATGATAATCCTAAGTATGGTAATATACATAATATGGTATGTATGATAGACAGAATATATAGTTACTATATTTAACAATTTATATCAAAAAAATAAAAATAAAAATTGTATCCTATGTCTCATCTCATGTCACTGTAGATACCCAATTTTTGACCGTCCTTAAGACTTGGGTGTTTTATTCCAAGCACTCGATGATGAAAATTACACTGTGCAATCTTTTGAATTCTTAGCGAAGAAATTTGGATTCAAGATCTAATTCCAAACTTTGTACTCTATTTTGGCCAAACTATTTTAGATCTTAAAACCCTCATTTCAAAATATTTTTCCAAATGCTTCTACGATGTTCCGAGACTCGCATTTCGTTTAAAACATTGCACTTTTCGGTAAACTAAGTAAGGACAAAGTAGAGATACATGGAAGAGAGGTGAACTCTTTGAAAAATATTTAAAATATCTTATTTATAGGTTTGAAGTTGAAAGAAATAGGAGGTTAGAAGAAAACTAGTTTAGGAAGAAGTTGATCATCAAACCGTTGAGCAAGAATGAGTAACTTTTACTGAATTAGGCATATCTCTTTGCACACTTAGAATTTAGATATGATTCCACCATCAATGGAAAATAGATTTTTGGGGCTTCAATTTAGACTCAAGAATCACCTAAAACCGAGTCCGGATAAGGGAGATATACCCATTTGAATTTAGACTTGGAATGCAGATTTTTGGACTCGGCCAGGTCTCAATGAAAAATAAACCAGAGTTTCTTTTTAGGCCTAGCCATTTGTTTTTAGGCTCGGCTGTGTGTTTTGGGGCCCGGTCGGGTCTTAATGGCGAAAAACGGGACAGTTGGTGGGAATTTGCCAGCTGTTGTTTTTCGAAGATATTTTCTGCCAAATTGGCTCAAATTCTATAAATAGATCCCTTGCATTGAGAATTGAAGGTTAGAAGATTTTCTTAAAGGCTTTGAGGGAGATTGAGAGCTAAAACCATCCTCTTTGCTTCCTTTGATCTTCAAACATACACAATACATACACCATTAGAGCTTGTTTTTGGAGCTTTTTGTTGAGATTTTAAACTAAATTTCAGAAACTTGAGGGTGTTTGGAATCAAGTTTGTTAACTAAGAGCTTACCTCTCTTTCAAGAAGTATAAGCTTGTCACATTTTTTCTTACTTTCATTTGAATCTTTTTCTATCTTTTTCTTATGTTTTCCTACTGTTTTGGATCCATTCTAAGTGTTAGAACTTGGGGTTTAAGAGCTACCAAATGTAGAGAGGCTTAACACCCTTTCTTGCACCTTATCCCATAGCTCACACCCTTTGTTTTTGCACTTTTTTCTTTGGTTTTCATACTGATTTACAGAGTTTAAAAGGGCTGAAAAACATGGTTTAGAAGTCCCAAAAGTGGAGGGATTAGCCATCCCTCCTTGGTCTTGCTTATTAGCATTGTATTTCTTTGTTATTACCTATCTTTTATGCGCTTTAAACATCATTTTGGCTACTATTTTTTTGCATGTTAGGGGCTGTTTTAGGAGCGTTTTAATTCATCAAATTAGCTTATGCTTTGAATACTTTACTTTTTGTGTTGTAAGTCCTCATGGCTTCGATTGTTTAGGACTTAGACACCGAGTCATTTGAGTTGATAGTTTTCTTTGCTTAGTTTCTATGTGAAAAGTCTCATTC